CTAGTTATCGTTCTTTTATCGTACTTGTGACTTTGAAACTTGGGTTTGAATGCATTATGATTTCTTTTCGATTTTAGTAATGATATGAAGCTTATGAGTATGATTTGAGTTTGAGAAAATGTTGAAGTTGTCGTTGAGTTCTCAAAGTTTAATCATGCTAAGTTGTTTATGAGTTATTTTATCAGACTGTCAGTGATGAATATTGAAACATCTTTGTGTTTACAATTTGAAATGTTGAGTTTTGACTCAAGGATTTTTCTAAAATCCATTAATGCCCCATTTAAAATGTCGTTTCACTTTTGAAAATCGGCGGTCCGTCGTAGAGACCTTCACTTCGCCGGTAAGACGCTCCTCCACCTCCTCGGGTCCTTCATCAAACACAGGAGGACCATCGTACAATGGCCCGTCAATTTTCTCTTCGTCGAAGTCGGGGATGTCAGCGCGAAACGGACCCTCTCATCAACTATATTCGCGATCAAATTCCCAGTCGCATCGGGCACGATATCCGCCGGCGAAGGCAGCCTCCTCGCGCCTGCCTTTGTCGTTGCGTTGATCGTCACTGTCCACAAAGCCCTTTCGCTACTTGTGACGGTCGTTGTATGTAGCGAAGGGGTCAACCTCGATCTGCGGGGGTAGATAATTGCCGAAGGGATTCACCTTTGAGATTATCTCCTCGTTGTCTTCGTCATCGGACGGTGGTTGTGGAGATCTCTGACGGGACGCCCCACCTGGACCACTGCCTCCACGTCCTCCACGAACTCCTCGGTGCACACCCCGGTTTCCGGCGTCACGGTTCATCTGCAAATTTTCAACCATGTTGTTGATCATAAGACGCACTTGTTCGATCCCGTTGAAAGATCCTCAACCCGATGATCCAATTTATTGATCTGGAGATCGAAGCCCGTGGCTTGTCGACCCGGATACTTAATGGTGGCGTCACGCCCATCGATGTTGTCCTTTCATAGAGACATCTTGAATCGTGTTGACCTCTGATACCTAATAATATAGGGAAGCGTACGAGTGAGATGATATTAATGAGATAGCAATCTCAAGAACATCTAAACACGATATCGAATCATATTTTCATTCAATAATTCATATTCAACTATCGAATAACAAAGAAGATGGGTCTTTAAATAAGATACCCAATACCCTACAAACTATCTTTTCCACCAAGCCACTAAATATGTAAATACTAAAATTATAATAATCGTAATAATAATAAACTATCTGCATCAGTATATAAGGGTAAACAAATTCTTTTACTCTACCCATGACATTCACACATCATTCTAATTTACATCGATATACTCCCTCAAGCACATACTAACGTGAGCATCGGAGTGTCTACGCCGGAACTCGCCCCGGCGCATTGCAGGTTGCTGAAGCTCCGAGTTGGTGGTAATTCGTGAAGATCGTGCTTTCAACCCGGTCCAAGACAATTTGCACATAAAAAAAACCACATATAATAACTATTAATTAATACTACGTATAATACCTATTTATCTTTGTAAACAACATGTCATCTTATATAATAACTACTAATATAACTTTCAAGAAAAAATACATGCATGTCATTACCATTCAACATTTTTAAACAGTACGTCATCTTATAGTAAAACTATACGACTAAAACATTACTTAGAAAACTATATGTAATATTAATTTGGTTTGAATGATCGTGGATAGTAGTCGGGCCCTAAATTTACTTAGGACGATGATCAAACTACTTGAGGTTCCAGGTGTAATCGTGCAAATGGTTAATTGATACTTTTAAAGAGTAGTAGATGGATTTGGAAGATATGATCCGTTGATTCAGTGATATTTCCGCTTATTCATAATCATTAACAGTCGTATTTTGATTTTCTGGTTTAGTGATTTGATTGTTGAGAATTTATAATGAGGAATTTAACTTTGATCTTAAACGGCTCTCGGTAGCATAACTCGTTTAAAGTAAAGAACTAGATGATGTGGTGTTTTCTAATAGCTCGATAAACCATCGTGATGTAGCTTGAGTCTGGATCCAGTTGGTTTGGTATTCAGATGATTGTGGCTTGTGGTTGAACCATAAAATTAGTTAGGATATGATTGAGTTCCTTAAGGTTTTGGGTGTAATCGAGCTGGTAGAAGGTTAATTGATGGCTTCTAATGAGCAATAGGTGGATTTGGAAGATGAGATTTATCTCACTACAATATTTATCACACCAAATTCCTAGACATTAAAATTTCCCTTTTATTCAAAATTGTTTGAGGAAAGGTAAATAAGGTGATATAAATACGAGCTTCCATATGACACTATTACCAATTTGCACAATTGTATTATAATTTTTTTTTTTTTTTTTTTTTTTTTTTTTTTTT